TCCATCACGGCCCCTTGGAGTCCGTGCGTGGGGATTCGTGGAACTTATTTTTTACCGAGTTCGTTTATTCTGGAAGGTGACGACATCCTCTCAAATCGAGACGAGGGGCCTCGAGTAAAAAGTGGGTGGGCCAAAACACATGGTTGGCCCCCCCACCTCGAAAAGTGGGTGGGCACTTGCCCACCTGCCCCCCCCCCCCCCTGTTCCTACGCCTATGATCCTTTTATTTTGGCAAGCAGGTCTTTCTAACTATCGTTGTGTTTCCAGTCTTCGTTAGTTGTCGAACCCTTCAATTGGCGTGGGTCTTCAAAACCGTTCCTGGCCCCCCAGCCGTCTTTTTTAGTCGGCTTGGGCCCTCAAAGCTGCTCCTGTCCCCTTTCAGCACAGCCGTCCTTTTAAGTCAATGTGGGCCTCTTTCAGAATGGCGTGCATTCCTCCGACACTATTGCCTATATAACTGCACGTTTTGTGCATGGCGTCCGGTGTGGACCCAGATTTCCAAAGTTTTTTTTTTTGTTTTTTTTTTAGATTTCGGTTAGTCTTGTCAATGACCAGGGCGAAAAATAAGTGGCCGAAATCCGATGAGAAAGGCAGATTTGGGGGTACCCTACCTTGTAAGCCCCGTCATATATGGCCAGCCGCCGCCTTTGGGCACTACCAATCATTTTCGGAAAACGACACCCCTGGCGAACACTCACATAACTGTACAGGTCTCGCGGGTTTTAGCGGTAGGTTTTGCACCTAGAAAATTTAGTGTACTTCAGGCTATAGCCTATATCTTCGTCGTCTTAACCCTCGCCCATGTAGGGGGGGGGGTTAGTGCAACCCCCCCCCGCCTGAGGTTTTTCGGAAATAGTGCAAAAACGGCGGCGCGCAGCGCCGCCAAATTTTGGGTACCTTATGGGGCAAACCTTGCGCATCTTTTGATAAAAAAAATTTGACCGGGTCATGTCAGGTCACGGAGTTATGACGTCACAAAGGGAACAGCCTCCGGCCGGATTTTCACAAACTGAGTGCCAACGCCCGAGGTTTCCTGCCGGTGGTACGGACATCGGTTGATGGATCGTGATGAAACTTCCCATGCATGTTGGGGCAAGTATTGGCTATCATATGGTATAAGAAACTTGACCGGGTCAGGTCAGGTCACGGAGCTATGACGTCACAAGAGGAACAGCGTCCGGTACTATTTTTGAAAAGCGCCCGAACCACTATTTTGCTAATTCTTGTCACCTCAATGGGAATATGCAGCAATATTAGCTTCTATAGGGAGCAAATGGACATCCCAAATCCAAAAATACAATCAGATTTCAAAAATTTAAATTTTGATTTTTCGAATTTCTGCCGCCGACTGTGACCTTGCCGACTTCCGGCGCTCCCAACGCGCCATTTTTAGAGCTAGGGAAACGAAATACATACCAAACGATAGAGAATTGATCAAGGAACACGATAGTGAAGGTTTCAAGTCGATATCTCCCACCGTTTTGCCGCAATCGCCGCGGAAAATTTGAAAAAGTCTATTTTTCCGAAAATTTGACCTTTGACCGGTCAAAAGTAGGTCAAATGTTGACCTAGGACCAAAAAATATACCACCAATCGCGAGATCTCGGCGAGAGCAATCCGTTGGTCTTTACCGCTAAGCTCTACGACGCTCCGTTTTCAAACGCCAAGGGGGGGGGCGGTCGCACCAACCCCCCCCCCTGCATGGGCGAAGGTGGCAGATCGCCGTTTACGGGCGAGGGTTAAGCTTTTAAGTGTTGAAGATGCGATTGACTTGTTGGGTAACAAGCCGGCCATGATCGTGTAAAATGGCTTCATCGTAGATCGATTAGTTTCTGAGATATAACCGGAAATGTAAAAGTGCAAAACCTACCGCTTAATCTCGCGAGACCTGTACCTTAGTGCAACGGCATTTTCCAGCACTGTGTGTGTAGGACTGCCGCGGCAGGGACAGAATGGTGGCAGTCGATGGTGTTGGCGCAGTGCGCGTTGGCGCTCGGCGGGTGAGTCACCCGGTCAGCACTCCAAACAGGGGCAGTTCGCTGACGGACGTCACCAGGTCACCAGTTGCCACCGTCTAGGCGTCTTCCGACTGTAGCTATTGCCTATTGGCAGATAGGTACTGACAGCAACTACAGGGTGACACAAAAAAAAACGGTCATCACCAAATTTCGAATAACTTCGGAAGTTTTATTCAAATGATCACCAAACTTCGGCCACTTAAGGTCACACCTATGTAGCATACATCCACCAAGTTTCAAGTCTTCACTACAAATACTTTTAGTACAGTGTGTGTTTTACTGACGCTCCACAATGTGCTCCAGGTGAGCGCCACGGCGCTGCAGGGCGTAGGCACACTTGCATCCGGCGGGCAAAGTTGTCGATAACCCGATGGCTGTGCACTTTACAGAGTGCAATGGCCTCTGGAGACAGTGCTCAGGGGGTGTGCTACCCCTGAAACGTTATTCTTATCGGGTTATCGGCAACTTTGCCCGCCGGAGCCCTGCAGCGCCGGGGCGCTCACCTGAAGCACATTGTGGAGCGTCCGTAAAACACACACTGTACTAAAAGTATTCGTAGTGAAGACTTGAAACTTGGTGGATGTCTGCTACATAGGTGTGACCTAAAGTGGCCGAAGTTTGGTGATGATCTGAATAAAACTTCCGAAGTTATTCGAATTTTGGTGATGACCGCTTTTTTTGTGTCACCCTGTACTACCAGATCCGACAGCAGCTAACATCAGATATTGACAGCAGCTGCCAATAGATACTTACAGCATTTACCACCAGATACCAACAGCAGCTGCCACAATTTCATCTGTCCACACCTCCCGGCACACCAGTGACGACATGCGGTCGCAAACGGCCTCATTGCCTGCAATCCCATCAGGTAAGCAAATCGGAAACAGCCTCCAAACGACTCACCGGCGAGTGAAATAATAAAATGACCCGCGCCCGAGTGGCGGTCTCAGCTAGCTTCGTCAAACATTTATAAGAAGGTATAAAAAAATTGACGAAAAACTTCTTCCCATTACCTTTTATGACCTAAGTCTAACGCCATATGGGAAAGATGATATATGATGCTGAGAATACTACCCGGCTTTTGTACGTGTGTTCAAACCAGGAGACACTTCGCCGGCAGACCCATGCATAATTATATATATATATATATAGGTATATATATATATATATATATATATATATATATATATATATATATATATATATATATATATATATATATATATATATATATACCTACCTATATATATATATATATATATATATATATATATATATATATACATATATATATATATATATATATATATATATATATATACCTACCTATATATATATTACCTTCCACTGTATGAAGAGTCCTCTTTTTTTGTTCCCATCGAAACCTATCTTCTGCTTTACCTGACCTTAAAAGGTAGCATAGCATCACTAAAACGTCTTTTGGAACGATAAACGAGCGAGCGCTCCACCGTCCCGCACTCGCAGTTTGCAGGCATGCAAAGTGTGACCTCAAACTATGTATGCGAAGCGCCCTACAAAACGGTGAATGAGGGTGTAAACACATAAAAGTCAAAAATGCGTCTACCGGTGGATGCCGACCGAGATGCAAAGGTTCAGCGCGACCGGCCCGGCAGTGTACCGAGAGTAGTCAGATACTTGGTAAAAGGGACGGGGCTATCCCTAATCCCACAAAAAGACCGCAAATCAATCCGCCTAGTGGCTACTGGCTGTTAAGATGAAGGTAAGCCAAGCAAATGTAACCGGGACAGAGTTGACCTGTTTGACTTGGCACGTTGGTCGCCCATAACCGAAGGTTTGTTGTCAATAGTTAAAACACTATTCGTTAGAATTGCGTTTTTCTATTGAAAAACAAATCTGAGTTCCCTGACAATTTGGCAAAATATACACCGAGATCAGTTGAGATCATGATTGATGGATCAATCTGATGCAAAAGACCGCAATTGTTGATCGGTCAAGTGGCTGCCGAAATATAAAGTTGTGAAAAGCATCACGGGGAGTACGGGGTGGGGTCGGGCGGCTCACAGTGATATTTCCCGACTAAGCAAATAGGCTCGCTGGCTCGCTCGTTAATTACTTGAGTCAGCGAATGTGTTCTTGAGCTGACTGAGATCTAGCTAGATAGGTTGGTGGATCCTAAGGTTGGGTACTCGCACCTACGCCTCTCATTGACACAAATGATCCTGACCCACATAGTCCAGGTGCTTACGTAAATGTGGCAGTACAAATGACAGCGTTCCGCTCACCATTTACTTTGGCGGCGTACCGTCATGCATAATAAATTACGGAGGAATGGCCAGAATAGCCCGTTTCCGCTTTGATTGTTTTTAAAGGGACCCTCCCACCTTCAAAAAAGTTGATGAATTGGCATGAAAGTGATGTCGCTCGGTTCAGAAAGAGCGAAAACCAATATCTACCAAATTTCACCGAAAAATATTCACCGGTTTTCAAGATATTAGACTTTTACTTTTGTTTACTTTTTTGGGATATCCGCTGTTTCTAGCGACTTTATTTTAGAAGTGCGGCGTTTGCGGCAGATGTTGCGCGCAAATAGCATATACCACCGCGTGCTACAAAACGTTTTAGTCAAACATTAAAAAATCGTTAGATATTTGCGCTGACGTCACACATTCAGAGGGGTATTCCTAAGCATTAGCCCCTCTGAATCAAAATGCTGCAATTTTGAAATTCAATATTTCCGATTTAAGGCATTTCTCGATGTTGTGAGTGCCGAAACCGGTAATTGTGAGCCAGGGACCCCATTTTGGCTATCTCAACTCAAATCTAATGTTAAGGTGGGAGGGTCCCTTTAAGTTACCCCAGTTACGACCGCCACAACGGGTACATCCACATTTCAACCCATGCCGACACTGCTGTCCAAACTGGAATAATACATGTGGCCATAACACATGACTATGGGGCAAGCTTCTACAACCGGACCCCGAGGGCTAGCATTGTCGGAAAATGACTAAGGTTTTGCATGGTGAAGAGGTGCTGACTGCTGTAGCATGTAGGGAAATGGCTTGCGGATAATATACCAAATTACAATTTGCTGGTATTCGTCCCACAAGTACGCAAAACCCTCAAATAACTGACGAAAAACGGGTTCGTGTCTCTTTGCGAGTGAACCTCCCCCCACTCTCCAGACGTGATGGCGTTCCGCCTTCCGGCCCTATCTTTCAGGCGGCGCAGCTCTGCCTGTCCTGGCAGTTCTCCTGTCGGCAGGCATCTGGTGGAGCTCCGGCGAGCCCCTGCCGCGCCCGTTCAACCTCACCACCCGCTGGCAGAGCCGGCTCCAGTTCTGGCAGTTCGCAGAGGTGACCTGGTCGCCGCCCGATGACGCCGTGTTCGATCAACACCCGGCTCCGGACGGCTGCTTCTGTAGAAACCTGTGCATCAGCGACGCCCGGTGCGTGGCCGCCGACCTGGCGGTGACCTCGGAGGGCCTCTCCTGTCGGCTGGCGGCACGCCGCGGCGGCAGTCTCAACACCACCTCGGCCGTCGCCGCCTTCGTCCGGGTGGGCCGCGCCGACCTCGGGGAGCGCTGCCTCACCGATGCGGAGTGCTGGGAGAGCCTGGTGGGCGCCGGGTGCGTGGACGGCGTGTGCGCGTGCCCGGCGCCGGCGCTGACGGCGCGCCGGGACTGCGTCATCAGCAACTGCTCCGAGCTGACGGCGCTGGGCGTCACCACCAGCGGCCAGCACTGGGTGCGGCTGGCCGCCGGCGCCGCGCTCACCGCCCTCTACTGCGACATGGAGACCGACGGCGGCGGCTGGACCGTGTTCCAGCGGCGCCAGGACGACACCGAGCAGGTCGACTTTTACAGAGACTGGCAGGACTACCGCGATGGCTTCGGCAACGTCTCCGGCCAGTTCTGGCTGGGCAACGAGCTGATCCACCATCTGACGGCGCGCGGGCCGCACCAGCTGCGCATCGACATGGAAGACTTTGAGGGCGACCGACGCTTCGCGCAATACGCCAGCTTCTCGCTGGCAGACGAGGCGGACAACTACCGACTGTCGGTGAGCGGCTTCACAGGGAACGTGAATGACTCGTTCGCTTATTATCACAGCGGCTTCGAGTTCTCCACCAAAGATAGAGACAACGACAGGACCGGCAGGGAGTCGTGTGCCAAGTCGTACCAGGGTGCCTGGTGGTATAAAAACTGTCACCGGTCCAATCTGAACGGGCTATACCTGAGACGCCACACCAAAGAATTTGCCACCAGCGTCTGTTGGAAGGCCTGGAGAGGGTTTCACTACTCACTAAAATTCACCGAAATGAAAATCCGGCCCAGTCTCTAAAATACTACTGACGCTAGCAAAACAATTTCGGTTACGCTCAAGTGCGTATCACAATATCTGAAATTGCTGGTGGTCACTTGCAGAGGAAAACGAGGATGGCCGCTTGATAACGGTCATATGTCCTGGGTTGAAACATTTTCCCGTCACCACAGTGATGCTGAATAATCGATCACAGTCGAACGTTTACTATCGTAGTGTCGTATGAACTGACGCTGGGCCGACGCGGCCGGCGTCGAGCCGGCCGCATGGGGAGGCCGGCGGCCGACCTGCCCCGCGGCGGTCACGTGGGCAAGGTGACGCCGACTGGCCGTGGCCCGGCCGGGGGAGAGCTGGTAAAGCGCCGGTCAGCGACGGACGCTCCCGCGTGGTCGAAATGTGCAACTGCATTATCATTAGTTAAGTCTTTATCCTGTGTTTATGTGAACAATACCTATATACCAACTATATAATTCACTTTAAGCCAATTTAATGCAGTCTGGTCACCTGGTGTGCCTAGCGCAATTTTTAGATATCTTCGTGCATTTGGAATTTGGATCACCGTGTTGAGCACCAGTGGTGTTTTACTGAGATTCTCGTTTAGGCGACGCGTCCTCACCCGCCTGGGTCGGCACCCACAAGGATGTTCGATACCTATACCCTGCCCACAAGCAGTGTCCTTCAACCCAAGTGTCGTCGGTCATCTTTATGCTGCGTGTAGAAGTCAGCGAATCTCTTGTGACGCTTTGCCTTTGCCTTTCCAGCTCACAATTTATATGTTTAATCGTTGTAGCAACTGTCATCTGTACCAGGGCTGCGGAGTCGATGGATTTTCGGCGACTCCGACTCCGGCTTTCAAAAACCAGCTCCGACTCCGACTCCGACTCCGGGTAGAATTGTCGACTCCGACCGACTCCAACTCCCGACTCCGACTCTGCAGACCTAGCAGGGCTGCGGAGTCGACAGATTTTCGGTGACTCCGACTCCGACTCCGGCTCGGGTTTCTAAAATCGACTCCGACTCCGACTCCGACTCCGGTCACAACTGTCGACTCCGACCGACTCCGACTCCGACTCCGACTCCGACTCCAACTCCGCAGCCCTGATCTGTACCATGCTTTATTTATGAGAACTTGCAGCATTCATAAGCGACTGGATAATTAAAGGTAGTGTGCCAGCTTTCCTGGACCGTATGGAGTTAATGGCCCAGATAAGGAGAACCGGATTTTTAGAACTTATCCATACCTTCAAAACTCAAAGAAACGTCTTAAATTCTTCAAATTTTGAGTACCCCAGTGCGAAATTAGCCCCGACGGGTTGTCGGTCGTACCCCAACCACATTTCACACCACTATGAACAATAAATGCACACACTGAAATCGCTATTACCGATATGCTCATCCAATCAAGTTTCGATAAACCCGTTCATCATCATCTCCTGCGGTTTCGAACACGCCTGTTAGGTGGTGCGGTAGACCGCGCCCAAAGCCAGGGCCCCGGTAACGTGAAGTAGCCGAGTCGGGGCAGCGTGCGCTGACCCAAGCCGGGGCCGCGCGTCCTCCCGGTGTCATGTAATAGCCCGGGGCTGCCCGCGGGGATGCGGTAGACCGCGCCCAAAGCCGCGGCCCCGGCTTGGGTCAGCGCACCCAGCCCCGACTCGGCTACCTCACGTTACCGGGGCCCTGGCTTTGGGCGCGGCTTCTGCTCATACTTTGTGGTGCGGTGGTGGTGCGTCGGGCCGCGCGCTCTGACTTGGGCCAAGAAAAATGCGTCAGCTGATCATTGTCATTTCTGCCACTTGCGTGTGGTGAAATGGGGTCATAACTTAAGAGACGGCTTTTTCATATCAATTATTTTACATAAAATCATATTTCAAACCATAAATAATGTTCGACAGCCAAATAAAAGAAACTTACAGTTTAAGGCTCGACATTATGTTGTCTACGATTAGACAGCTGATAACTCATTCCCGTACGTCGTAACTCTATAATGACCTTTGCTTATTGTCACATGTGCGCCGCATTCGCGATTGTTGCCGACGCCTGTTTACAGGTCAGCCCACTACAATTGTTATACATATCGAAAAACCGATAAACTTTTAGGCGAAAAAGGCACTATTCCAGGCCCATTTTTGATTTTCTTTGCGATATTAGGTAAAAACAGAAGCTTCTTATCCAGGAAAAATAAAATGGGAAATCTTTCAAAGGTGGCACACTACCTTTAATGACTCGCTGTACGGCAAGAACGCTTACCGGTAGTGCTGCAACTTGCGACGCTGGCTAGATAACTAAAAATGGTAACGCCTGCAAGTGATACATGTCTGCACCATCTGATGACAATACAATTCTCTTTAATTAACATTTTATTGTTTTGAAGCGCTGGGTAGACTGAAGCACACAACAGGTATCGGACAACAGCATCACCATTGTGACAGTAGTTGATAATGTGACTGAATGGAGAGGAAGGAAACTGCCGAGACCGCGCCGCCATCACAGGCAGAATCATTACGGGCGAATGAGACGAGTCATAAACGGAGCAGATCGATACCCCATCTAATACACATTATAGATTGAGATAAGCCTGATGAAGTTACTTTAAGAGTGCACCAATTACCAAACCATCTAATTAATGGAAATATCTGAAGTCGATACAAAACTACATCTATGTCTGGGGAAAAAAGAGAGCGTCACGCAGCTTGAACAATTACGCTACACTGACACAAGACACTCTGGCTTGTGTCCTTAGCATGGGCTACGCGAAGCATACGTCTCCGATAGTTATTAACTGCACCGAAACGAACTAAGCACCGGTAGTCAGAAGGCGGTAGCCACATACAACCGCGATGTGCCTTGCTCTTTTGATCTTTGTTCAGTCGAGTAAGCTGCGGTGACGGTTGAGCCAAAGACGACGCGATGAATGCTGACTGAGGCCGAGAGTACCGTTTTCCCAGTGGTTCTGTAAACAAAGAAAAAATAAATGTAAATCTCGCGGCGATTTGCACAGGGCATACAAACTTCGCATATATGCCAGTGCAACTCCCGAACAGTCACGTTGGTACAAAAGAGGTACATTTCTGATACAGTTGTCACGCAATCGTGCTGGCAATACGACATATGACCACCGGTGCCGGTAGAACCATAGTGCCGGAAAACTGACCTCTCCGCCATCGAAGTCTGCAGGGGGTGCCTGTTGTCAGAGGGCGCCCACACCGCCGTCCGGTGGAGTCCTACGTGCAGAAGATGGCCGCACCTCCAGCGAGCTCCGCGGACCCGGCACGCTCTCCCGTTGCACCGCATGAAACGTGGAAGGGGGGGGGGGGGGATCAGCCGCAGTCGCACCTGTCGCTAGCCAAACACATTGACTACACAATGAACTGATCCAGATACAGTTGACATCTGAACACCGGCAATCATCGTTGTAAGAAACTTATCATGACAAATAGGTACATGCACAAAGCTGTTTTCTTCGACAGGATTAGAAACGTGGTAACTGTATGTTTGTCCATTTTTAATTTATAGCTGTCATCATATCATTTAAGATGTAATGTAACGTGAATTATTCCGAAAGTGTGTCGGTTATTATTAATAGGTTATTATAAAAGCAAGCAAAAAAAAAAAACAGATAAAAAACAGAATGGTTGCGACGCCAGGTTGCCGTACCCCCGATAATCAACCTGAACTCCATGCATCGCCCATCAAGCTGTGACAGCACGCGACAGACACGCAGAGAAAAGGGATACGGAGCCGACGCCCTCATTGTTTACACAAGTGCCACGCTGGAGTCAGCTGTTCGCTGCGAACTAAACTCGTGTCAGATATTTCCCTCGGGCCGACGCTATAGTTGCGAAGAGAGGTCGATACTACGCCTCCGCTTTACCGAGTGCACATAAGGCCAACTGGTGCTAAAGGGCCCAGAAGTATTGCCAAACGCCCATTGCAGGGAAAATGATAACGGTGCAAACGGCGCTGATGGTCAAATACCAGCTATACAAGTACTCACCACCCTGTGGTTAAATGTCGGTGCAGTGATTACGAGACAGCGATAGTCTCCGCGATAGACCTTGCAAGAATTATATAATAACCTTCAAGCTACATAGAAACGGATCACAATAGCAACAACCGAGCCACCATCCGGCCGAGGAACCGGAGCGTTGCTGCCGGTGGTCCCGGCAACTGTACCTACACACAGACCCCCCCCCCCCCCAAATCACACTTTTGAACTCCACCACCCCGGCTCAGAGACATAATAGTTTTTCAGACTCCTTTATGGGAAGAGACATTAAAGACAAAATTCAAACACAACTGCGCCTGCGAGCCGTTGACGGCGACAGTAAAGAACAAGCAGCAGGGAATGTCTCTCTTCAAATCTCGGCCACCGGCGACCATAGTAAAATCACGGTTCCGGAAGCCTGGTAGTATCCCGAACTGAGGGCAACCCATCGCGAGTGAACAACAGCTCAAAATGATACATCTTAAACATTTTGACATTCCAGACCCCTAGACGGGGAGCTCCTCCTAGGAGCCATCATATTCGAAGCCATCATAATCATAATCGCCATCATAATCATATTAGCACCAGCCATCATAATCGAAGCCATCATACAGCACGACGTGCACAACGTGAGAGTGGGACAGTGCGGCCACCCGATAGCCGTTCGAGCCACGTTCGGCTGGGCGCTGACTGGGCTGACCCAACTGGCGCCAGAAGCCACACGTCAGGCGACGTTCGTCAGAAAGGAAGGCGGCTCTCCTGAGCTGGACACGACGTTCAGAGGGTGGCACCGTCAAAACGACCTGGGGCCACCCCACAAAGGCAAGCCCAGCCCCTTCAAGCAGCGCCGGCCGATCAGACGGAGCGATCGGCCTCAGTAACGCGGCGCTCCCTCTTCCAGGAAACCACGGACAACCTGGATAGCGACGAGGAAACGGTTAATCTCACCACATCGCAGATCAACCTTGCCGCCCAACAGGTGGCGTCCTTACTCCGCCAGCAGCCTTCACCGTCGCAACCACAAGTGTCTCCGGATACCCCTGGGCCCATGTCGGCACCGCCACCTGCGGAGCCGGCCCCTCCAGGGCCCGTGGCACCGGAACACGTGGCAGCTCTACCGGCGGAAGATACGCTGCCGGCTCTCCATCACCAGTGGATCGACTACCTGACCGAACAGCGCCTCGTCAACGCTAATTACTCAAAAAGGGACCGAGAAGAACTCAGGACCCTCCTGCTGGCAGTGGAACGCCCTCCGACAGATCGCCTTGATCGCCAATTCCTGTCGGATAGGCTACAACTCTATACGGTGGTCGGCCACAGAGGGTGGAGCGCGGCCCTGACAGCGCTCCCCGACTGGGACCTTAAACGGCTCGGGATCGACAACTGTAAATGGAATACAATGGGCCATATACATTGAGCACGGTGTAAAATCCTTGGCGTGTCTCTACCGACGCCCGCGTGCAGAAATAGTGGTGGTAGCTTGGGTCAATTCAGTTCATGAACAATTCAATTCACAAAGCACGTTCCACCATTGGGTAACAATTCATTATCAATGCAAAGTGAATGGCTGTGAGTTTTGTGAAGTCGTTTGGGTGAAACTGTATGAATGTGTATGTACGCTCAACATCCGCCCGTACACCAAGCAAAGGTCACCAAGTTCGACCCGCCACTAGGGCAGCGGTACCCCGTCCGCTCACGGCCACCACCCTATTCGTCGTCAATATGAGAATGGGCTTCGGCCGCATGCACAGTGATCAATACACTTTGTCAGCACGTGTAAATCATAATCACAATCGAAAGTCTAGCGAGACTGACCTTCCAGCAAACCAGGGAGCTCAGCCTCTCGATCGCGCAGTTCACCGATGACCGATGAGCCATAGAAGCAAGTGTGGAGCGCCATCCTTCTGTACCGAGTCCAAAATATTCAGGAAGCGGAACAGTGAACTCCCTCCGATCTCAGCCTGCGTCTCGCCTCCTAATCGCTCACCCACTTGCGACCACAGGCACAAATCGTGTACTCATTCGGTCGGTTCCAATGCCGAGCCAAAGGCATCATGTACGTCTGTCCGGTGTAAATCATTTGTCCCCCGCAGCAGCACTGGTCCGTCCCGGCCAGTGAAAGGGGAGTTGCGCCCCCTCGGGTCTCAGCTATGATCCTCTTCTTGTATCCCACATCTTCAAAGAACCCCTATCCCTACTCCCTGCCCCCTCCCCCTCTCACCACAATCCTGTAAGCTCCTTTTGACTGTCGCACGGAGTGGCGGCTGGCTCCCTCGCTGGCGTGCTGATGTGTACACCAGCTTGCCGGTGCGTGGTGCCGTGCCGCCGCCTCTGGTGGCGTCCTGGTTTTATGGCGTCAAGGGAGGAGGTGTCGTCCAACCTTAGGGGGTGGTGTGATGCAGGTCAAAAGAAAAAAAAAGTTGCTCTCCTCTTTTGGCAACTTAAAGTTCATTTCAAGTTTGTGTCATATTTACTTTGTTCTCAGACGATTCCCGAACCGCCATACGGCTGAACATATATTGGCGTCATTCGAGGAGGTCATCGACGAGTTTGGACTGGCGGGCAAGGTGCTCGTGCTGGTGACCGATAGTGCAAGCAACATGCTCAAGGTTTTCCGGGGCGGTTTTGCACTGGCCCCGCAGCCTGGCAATTCTGCAGATGCTGCCGGAAGCACTGAGGAGGCAGCTGACTGAGGATGACACTGTAAGTAAAGTAAATCAAATTTGGTACCTAAAACGAGTAAGAAAATCGTTTCGGCGCCAATGCAAGCCACAATGCTACACGAACACGGAAAGATAAAAAAGCGACACGAAAATAACCGCATCTGAAAAGACGTAAAGCAAGGAAAGGGCACAATCCACCCATAAGAAAGCAGTTCGTATTGCATAGCGCCCAACTTCTTTTGGCGCACTGAGCGACGCATTCGAGCCTTTACCGCCGCCATTTGCAGCGAGGTGGCGACGGGTGTCGCGCGGGGACCATTTCGGGCCCCGCCGCTGCCGAACTTTCGCGTGAATCCGCTGAGTGCGCGGATAAAACACAATGGCACAATTACTCCAGAAGATTGCGCGGTGCAATACATGGATCTCGACGAGCTGGCGGGCCTCATTTTTGCAAACGGCGGAGCTGGGACACAGTTGTTCAAGGCGGATATCAAAGCCGCATTTAAGCTTATACCCGTTCGGCCCAATCCATGGCACGCCCTCGGCTTCTGCTAGACTGCTGGGCGGGCCGGCGTTGGTACCAAGTAGCGCTTCCGTTTCGCTGCCGCTCCTCCTCACATATATTCAAAGATTTTGCGACGCTACTACGAGACGCTCTGCGGGCCGCCACAATAACCCAGCAGTGCTCAACTATTTGGACGATTTCTTCGGGGTCGAACCGCCCCCTCCCCCCTGCTGCCATGGCCCCCACATACCTAAGTTGTGCGAGCACCTGTGCGAGACCGTGGGTGTGCCCTTGCAGCCGGGGAAGTGCACGCCCCCGACCACTAGCATGGATGAGAGATAACGATGTCGAACATTTTGACGTACGTCGGCGGCTGGGTGTTGCGACGTGGTGCGGAGAAACATGCCTGTGTTCAGTGCTCTGCTGTGCTCGCAAAACCCGATCCTTTGGTGTGTTTTGAACGGGAGATGATGTGTGGACTGAAAAGCTTTACCGGTGCATCAGAAGAAGACGCCGGAAGCCTGGTAAAGCCCACACAGGGCTTTTACGAGATTGTCTCGTACGCTTACCGCGCTACCCAAGTCCTGTGGCCGGCTCTATTCACAAAGTCGGGAATGCTGTCGGTAATCTTAAACCGTGTCATGACTTCGCAGCCGGCGCTAGATCTATTGGCCTTGCTGTGCGATAAGAATGCATTGGTTTTCATGATCACCCTTTTCATTCGCCTGAACCTGTACAGGCTCTGCAAACAGGGATCCTCTGGGCGAGCGCCTGCGCAGAAACAAAACAGGAAGCTGCTCAAAGTCACATCTCGAGCGTAGTCAGATAGTGGGGTGACGAGCAGGGCTGTGCCATCCTTTTCAATGATCTCATTTTCATTTCACTAGGCTGAACAGTCGCTCTTGCAGTGATGGTTGTGCAAGCTCGATGTCGAAAGTTTTTTTGCATGTGTCTAAATGTGTGTATACTATATAGCGTGACGGCAGGCTGACACGTGTGCGCGCGCGTGTATGCTTGTGTATATGTAGATGCGAGTGTACTGAGGGTGTCGCTGGCGGTTCGACCTCCGCTGTCAGTCCCCACGTGTGTGGTGTGTCATGGGATGATTTCTGACGTCATCGGTCGGGGTGCGGCGTCTTGGGCTGATGTGCGGCGTAATGGGGTGATGCGCGCTGCCGTCGAGAGTCGCCGTGTGCGGGCGAGATGACAGTGATTAGAGATGAAACGGGAGCCAGCCGCTCCAGTTTCCCTGTGCTGCACCGCTCCCGTGTTGCTGGGCTGCACTGCGGCGCCTCGCGGCTCCAGTGGCTGTATTCGGGACTCCGCCAGGCCCCAGCGACGGTCTCGCGAACCATCTGCAACCGAGTGGCACGATCGTGGACCGGTATGGACTCCACACTGGATCGGGCGTCCGCCGTCCTGCGCGTGGGCTGAGCTCGGGCCGTTTGTGTCTGTGTGTGGGTGCGTGAGGCGCGCTCTCCGCGGACGGACAGACGAATCTCGTGTCCAAATGACTGGGCTGACTGGCGTATCGTAAGTGTATTATCGTCAAAGGATACAATGAACAAACTAATTGATCATGATCAATCACTGAACGTCTTTTCGGGCTTTCTGTGCCCACTGCAGATTTTGAGTGGCGGGTGAGGGGGAGCATGCAAGCCAAGCCCACCCAATTCCTCTTCCGACTCCCGTCCGTATTATACTGGGACTTGGTTTGTAAATGATCAGAAAACAGATATGGGCATCACTTGTGCCATGTTGTAACATTTTTCAACCCAAAACGCCTAAAAATATTCGCGGAACATATCCCCGTCATTACGCTTTACACTGCGGCCCACCGCGCGTCGTGGCTAGGTTTAGTTCATCTGTTGGCCGCTAGGTGGCCGCGCTGGTCGCTGACATCAAAGGGGCCAACGCACTATGGTTGGAAACGGCCTCACGGATGGCCGGGGGTCAACGCGAAAAAATGTTTTGCCCATAACTTGTTAATGCGTAGACCGACTGCGATGAAACTTTGCATAGGTATACCAGTGT